AATATATTTTTGGGTTCTATAGCGTAACACATACAGAAATGCAGTAACCAACAAGGTCATTGAGAGTATCAAAAACCTGAAACCTGTAAAAATAACCTACAGTGGAAGAAGGGGGCGGGGCTAAACTGTGTTTGTGGAGTTCCACATGGCTCTATCGTAGATCCTCTACTTTTTATTCTGATTTAAATTATATTCTTGTTTGTTTGTTTTTTAGTGGGGTCTCTGTGGGACCTCTAGGCTGTCTTTATGCTGTTGGAGCCTTTGGAGACTGGGTCTGTTTCATGGTGGTTTAACTGGGACAGAAATAAAGGTTTGGGAACCACTGGGTTGGTCTAGTTTCATCATCAGTTTCATGCACACTGACATGGAGCATAGTGTTAGATCATGGAGTCAGCTCATGCCTTACTACACATCAGTGTGGGGCGATCTTTAAACTGGTTTAGTCTACATACATTAGCTGCTTTGTGCCCTCCTGCAGGCAGCTCCTGCTGTCCTGCTGGGTGTCTTCACTGATGTGTGTGCATGCCTGCACAGAAAGCATGCACACGTGAACCTGAGGTTGTAGTAGAGAGACTGATGCTGCAACAACAACACGTCCTAATGATTCCTGTTTTCATCCTGGTAAACCTCTAATCAACCTTTAATATTCTCCATAATTGTTTTTAATGTGTTTCAAGTTCAAAATGAAAATAAGAGATGAACATTTTGACACTTAAGTTGTAGTAATTGATATCTTTGGTTCCCTTTTCCTCATTAATGTACCTTCATTATTCTCCCTAATGTGTAATCTTTATGTTTGTGTAAGTTTAAAGTACAAAATGAACAACAGGAAGTTTCTGACTGGAAAAATCTGAAATAAATCTCCTAGAGTCATTTTTGTGAGGAACCCATCAGATGGTGGAACTGAACTGTCTAATATTGATGCTGAAATGTTTCAATTGTTTTGATTTAAACTTTTTCTTTCATATTTTTCACTCTTTTTTCCTAAAGACTTAAAAAATAAAGCGAAATAAAACAAAAACCCTGTGTTCATTTTTCTAATTGAGCTTTTTTGTAACCTTCTGTTAGTCAGGCCACGCCCACTCTTCAAACTAATGCTGACGTATGAACGCCAGTTCTGCTGTTTCAAAAACATTCCCGTTATAAGGAAGTCAACAGGAAAACGCCTCTTGGCTACTCTGCAGCTTTCAAAGTCAGATCCACCGCTCGCTCATCACAAACGGTGTGAAATCACAGGAAAAACAGAAACTAATGGGCTGCGTCACCGTGGTTACGCCCATTTATGTTTGTATTAAGCTTCTCAGAGTTATTAAAACCACCTTCAGCTGCAGTATTAAAGCGATGCAAATGTTAAGATATCAAAAATTATGATCTCGTCATATCACAGATATGAGTCTTGAGTACAATAAGTACTGCTGTATATCTTCATACTACAAGTTTTATGACTTTTCAGCATCAAAATAAATGTCTTCTGTACACAGACTGTACATAAATGATGGACACTGTGATGTCACTCATTGGTTAATGAAGCCTCAAGCTGCCTTGGGAAATTGGAGGTGGTGAGAGAGGGACGTCGTGAGGCCGACGACGCGACGTGCAACGAGCACGCTCTCTCTGAACTTCCTGTTTCACTCAGTTTGAGCTGAATACCACAACTGATAAACTTGTGAAATCATTCAGACTCAATCAGGTCACTGAGTAAAGGAGCCACAAGTCTTTATGTCCTCCAATCAGAAGGTTTGATGCACTTCTGTGCTGGCTTCAGTTCAGAAACAAAAACTATGTCCATCACTTTACACCAACCACCTTCTTTTTTGTTAATGTT